TCAGCCGGAATCTCGAGGAGAGATCACGTAAGGAACGAAAGAGTCCGTGAGATCATGAACGCCGAGCAGAACATCGTGCATGAAATTATGACCAAACAGCTTGTCTGGTATGGTCATGTTCAACGAATGGCGGATGATAGGTTGCCTAAGAAGGTGCTAGATTGGGTTCCTCCTGGGAGAAGACGTAGGGGACGCCCAGCAAAATCGTGGATTGGTGGCATTCAAGATGAAATCACAAGATGCCATCTACCAGATGACCTCTGGATCAATAGGCAAGGATGGCGATTAGGTGTCGCAGAGCGCCCGAGCGCGCTGTAAAGCGACTGGAATGTATGTATGCATGTACAACATACGCGACTAAGGCTTCATACCATCTTGTAGTTAACGGCGTGATGTTTCAAACGAAAATGGAAGCGCGGGCAGTGGCAGAAGACTTCCGGACTTCCTTAACTGCCGAGGAAGTACGAAAGTTTACTGTCAACGGCAGATTCATAATCGACTTGAACGTTTACGGTAAAACCCAACAATTTCGTATGTTGTACTGCTCGAAAATGTTCCCAAATAGAGAATCACACCCTTTATTGCCTGTGGACCGTAATTTTAAACTGAGTAAGGACAACTTCCACAAAACCTTGGTGCAAGTCCCAAGGTCTTATGAAAGGTGCCACACTCTTACTTCCCACAGAGGAATTACGGGATCCCGCCTCACCCCCCGCAAAAGGACAATATACAATCCAACATCAGCACCAAAAAAATTCAACATTTTTTAAGTAATCCCAAACGAGGCTTAACGAAATAACCAATAATGCAAGAATTACTAGCTGCTCCTCATACGATCTGAATAGGTTCAGGATTTGCGTGTCGGGCTATAAGAGGTGCCTTCTAAAAGGAATAACTCACAAGCACAACAACGCGTTCTTCGAGTACATCAAGGATAAGGACGCATTGTTGCAGGATTGTTGGGATCCGGAGTGCATGGCCAACAAGGGAGAGAGGCAAAACGTAAGACACGTACATCCAGACGAGTTTGACATATTTGAAGATTAGTTTTTAGTTCAATACTTGCATTACGAATTATCGGTAATTTCGATATATTATATATATATTAAATATATTATATGTATATATAGCTTAGGTATGAATTAGGCAATTTGTTAATAATGTATACATTAAAAAATGTGCGTGTCAAATGACCAACTTGTGAATAATTTGCAAATAGATATCCAAGAATTGATGTATATATAATTGGTTCAAAGATGTAAGTGTAAGGTGCTCCTTGTACGCCTGCAACAGCCATTGTTGTTCATGTGCGAAAAACATGTAAAAATTACACACACACTTTTTGCCGTTTTATTCACGAGAAAAAAAAAACACATTGGATCTAGAGTCCAGACTCTTGAAAACATTAACAAGAAAAAATACCCTTGATTCAATCAGATTTAAGCTTAAATCAAAAGGAAATCCGCTCAAATTAAGAGGCTTGGTTCTTGATTTAAGCTTAAATCTGATCGAATCAAGAGTATTTTTTCTTGTCGATGTTTTTAGGAGTCTGGACTCTAGATCCAATACGTTTTTTATTTTCCAGTGTTACGTGGTAACATCAGATTTTATCTCACATCTCTAAAAATCCTCTGTCTGGGCAGCCCGAGAGTGACGCGAGGCGGCAGATATGAATCTCTCCATGAGCACTTTTCCACCGCGCACACGAATATAATTTCGGGAGATTAAAAGGCGCAAGTGTTATAATTGATCAATGGATCGGTAGATCTTGTGGTTAGCCTGTAGGGTAGGCTTCATATGTACATTAGAACCCACTTTGAGAAGTGGGTAGGATTCAATAATGCCGCCCGGTTCAGAGAGTGGTGGCCAAATGTCGATGTTATACAAACTTCAAAAGTTCATTTGAAGATATAGCGGTTACCAAAAAATTGTGTGGCAATTCAATAGCTACTGAAGTTGTAGATTTTGTAAAAAGTGCACTCGCAAGGACCTAAAAGCCACGTGACGACTACGAGGAGCTCCTTGAATTGACATTATTGTTCCTGGGGAGAAACGAAGTTGCCATCACAATCTGTGCACCAAGCGCTTCCTACCATGCACGACGGATGTCCAAAGCACTACACTGCCTAAAAATTTGTTTGTTCAGGGAAAAATTTAAGCTTGCAAAAGAAGATTTGAATGATTATTACGCCTATCACGCCGGATTTTTGAACCTTTCCATACCAATGGAGTCACCTGAAGATGGGCGGCCTGCCCGCTCGAAATGACCATAGTGCGTAGAGAACGATAAGAAAGTAAGTGCTATATAATCGGTTTGCAAAAAAGCTTTAGGTTAATCAAATAATTTGTGTAGTGCCGACAAAATTTGAAAAAGAAAAATGTGCAATATGCAACAACATAGTAAGAATTGAATGGTATCCGTGATCTTTGTATTTTTATTGTATCCATTTACGTAAAAGCGTGGTTTACAGCGCCATCAGCCATTAAAGCTCCATATCACGACCTTTGGTATGTAAAACATTTAGTTGCTTACAGCAGCATTGACACTGATTAAATATACATGTATATGTGAGGCTCAAAGGATTCAACCAATTATAAATAAGAACACGACTAATCAGATAGCATTGATGTTAACCTCTAGACGGAAACGTGCATTTGTGGTGGTCGATGGTACGGCAGTCTTCAACCCTCTTTAAATGAAGCCCCCACCCACTATGCAACCAGAGATGTATTTGGCACAATCAAGTTAATGTGCAAAGTATTATTGAGAGGTACGCCCAAAAACTGGTTTGGATTTAGCGCGCAAGGAATTAAAAACAAAAAGATGGGTCTCTACCGTATGCTTCATTGAAGGTTATCAGAAAGATGCTCCAGTTGACCGCCAGAAACAGTCTACACTTGGCCCTTTCGTTCAAAGATTATAATTTTACTGTGCTGTACATGAAGTGTAATAAACGTAATTTGTTTCGTTTGTAAGAATCTTGTTTCATATTTTTCTTCCCAGCAATTTTCCGGATTATATCATCGTTGCTTGAGAGGGGAGGAGTGGGTGTGTATACGAAACTGGAAAACCCCGAATATTTCAAGGAAAAATTGTGGGTTGAAATCGGGATTGTGGTTTTCGATTTAACGACTTTATTTGCTGGTCCCCAGAAATCAGTTACATCGAAGTTTTACCGTACAAGCTTTGCCGGGTATGTTTCATCCCATTCTCTATTAAATTTTGGTACCGCCTACTACAGGTAGCTTGAAACATACACTGGAAAAAGAAAAAAGAAAAAAAAAACACATTGGATCTAGAGTCCAGACTCTTGAAAACATTGACAAGAAAAAATACTCTTGATTCAATCAGATTTAGCTTAAATCAAAAGGATATCCGCTATAATTAAGAGACTTGGTGTTTGATTTAAGCAAAAATCCGATTGAATCAAGAGTATTTTTTCTTGTCGATGTTTTTAAGAGTCTGGACTCTACATCCAATGTGTGTTTTTTTTTACAATGTAGTTTGAGGACTGCGATCAAGGATAAGTTTTCGTTTAACTTATTGCATTCTCACGTTCTCAATTCACTAATTTCTAGACTCAAATATCAATTAAAATGCAATAATTCAGTCAATATCAGAAAACAAACGCATCATTTTAACTTTGGTATCTGAAATTAAGCTTGCAAATAAGCTCCTGAAGTTATGGACATTACTCTCAGCAAGAGGTCATTCAGACTATTGTTTCACTGGTGTGCTCTGGAGGAGCATGCAAGGTTTGTCTTTGCTAAGAAACCGCGCTACTACTATGAATTACAAATATGGTGCGAAAAGGTTTTACGGCTGATTCCCCTGACGTAAGATTCATGGCTCGGGGGATGGCCGCTAATTTTTTACTTTTTGTGACATTGAGAATGCACAAAGAAGATCTCATCAAAATTACACGACTCCTCACGGCGCTCGTTACCATTATTTTTTTTTTTTTTTTTTTTTTTTTTTTTTTTTTTTTCTTCAGGGACATTCCCCATCTGACTTTATTCAGTTTTAATGTGATACAAAATAAATGAGTGTGCATATAATAATTGTTTACATGGTGTTGATAAAATTATTTACATTTGAATAGGACGGAAATCATCGGTAGATATCTCTATCGCCCTGCTCGTTACCATTAAGATGAACGCTTAAAGTATCTGCGGAAGAAGAGCACTAGTAAGTAAGTGCAAAGCAGAGCAGAATCACAAGGAAGCGAATGAAATCACAGATTCCAAACACTGGGGGGAAAAAAACATTGGATCTAGAGTCCAGACTCATTTAAAACATCGACAAGAAAAAATACTCTTGATTCAATCGGATTTTTGCTCAAATCAAGAACCAAGTCCCTTAGTTTGCGCGGATTTCCTTTTGATTTAAGCTTAAATCTGATTGAATCAAGAGTATTTTTTCTTGTCAATGTTTTCAAGAGTCTGGACTCTAGATCCGATGTGTTTTTTTTTCCAAGGAAATACAGGGATGCAGATGCATACATTTTATTTAGCCTCGAATTGTTGGGTTCAAGTTTCGATTAAAAATTTGATTGAGGATACCAAGTAACTTTACCTCGAAGTCATTGTAGACTGCGACAGCGCTTGTTATTTGATTTAAAATATCTGAAACATAACAAGAAGGAAATGAAAATATACGGTTACCTTGTGTATAACGAACTACATGATTGATCTGAAATTCTGAATCCACCAATCCTATCTGTGGATAAGTATGTATTCAAAATAGATACATCGCGTTATTTAGGCTGATCACAGTTTCTGTAGATACTTGATAAGAATGATTTAAATTTCTTCCCTCCCTGTTAAGGAGAGACAAGACTTTTTCATAAAAAAGTGTGACGAAATTCAAATATCAAAATGAAATAGCTCAAAAAATTATTTCATTTGGCTGCTATAACAGGTGTTGGGGGGGGGGGGGGAGGAGAGCAGCTCGCAACTCTTCAAAAACTGCAGGAACCGGCCGCTCCCTCTGACCACGGGAAAGCGAACATTAGAACATTTTACGATTTTTGGGTCGACTGCAAGCTTCTAGCTTCCAGATGCTCCCAAAACTGTCAGACTTCCAAATTTTTCAGACTCTTCCTCCTGAGACGCTCTTAAAGCCAAATCTACCCCCCTCCGGCCTTAGGTTCCCGGGAATCGGTGTATGGTCCTGTTGTAACGATGTTGTTTTATATGTTTTACGTATTACATCGTATTTCTACCAAACGGACCTATGTGGAGGTGGGAAATATGGGGTGTGCTCGTTAGTTCTCTTTGCGTAAAAATGAATGAGAATAATAAAGCGCCAGTGACGTTAGCGGCAATGATGAATCCGGGGGCAAGGAGATGGTCGTTGGGGCGCTTTAACTCATGAGCTCTGTCCACAACGCTCTCGTCCCATGCTCACGGCTCACGACTGCCGCATTCAGTTGGCACATGGGTCTGTTTGATAGAATGTAATATCCCGCTTTTCGATTGGATATTTTTTTCTCACTCCAAAGGAGCAGGAGAAAACATGATGTATTTTCTTATTTTTCAGTATGTACGTAAATTATATTTAATAAAGGAGGCTAGGGGTACAAGTTATTGTTCCTAATTTTTCACCGATAATGCAATTGTTTTATGATATATTTTCGCCACTGCAGTGTATATTATTTATGATTTCATATGGACAGAGAAGATAAATACCTCTTGACTGCTCTAGCCCTCCATGGACAGAGAAGACAAATTCCTCTTGACTGCTCTAGCCCTCCTGTAAGTTGTTTCCAATTTTAATCTTATTTTTTTCTAATCGTCATGATTTCATATGGACAGAGAAGACAAATTCCTCTTGACTGCTCTAGCCCTCCATGGACAGAGAAGACAAAGTCCTCTTGACTGCTCTAGCCCTCCTGTAAGTTGATTCCAATCTTAATCTTATTTTTTTTTTTTTCTAATCGTCACAATGGTTTCCTAAAAAGTTGACTTATTTCCTTGGTCCAAGAGGGTTAGGTATTCAAAAACGCCAATCCTCTTCCTTAGATCCAGTCCGGAGTTAGGCCTCGATGGTGAAACTGCAGAAATGCGTAGGTATCTTGCTTTGTGGCGTTGCAGACTTCATGTGAGATTTATTGAGATCCTGAAAATTGTGTATGGAGCACAGGTACTATTTTCATGACACAGTCTCAAAAAATAAATAAGTTTATGTCTTCTCTTTCAGATGGTATGCGTCAGATCCAACTTCGATTGTCCTCATTAATAGGTTGGGCTACAACTGCTTCCTCCTAGATAAAACAGTCGACGCGCAAATCCAATCTGTTGGGGCTTCTCCAACCTTCGCTGTAGTGGGAAACGTGGTTGAGGTGGCGAAACTAAAACGCATGTCTTTCCGCTGCGGGGAAGGGCGGAACATAACATGTCCCAACGAAAGGAACTGCGACAACGATGTATCCTATGCGACGAAGATGACTGTTTGGTCTTTGAACAGGAATGCGCAGAAACCTCTTAAACTTTTAAAAAGCTGGATTAAACGGACAGTCTCAAGGAGCCGCACCCTCCAAACAATAATGTTGCAAATCCAGAGGAGTTTATTTTTCAACCGAACGAAATATTCCGAATTGACGATGGAAACCTTGCAAGGTTTAATTGAGGCAGTCCTGGCAGGATTACTTGGAGCGGGAAAAAAGTACTGTCTGATACTGGAAATTATTGATGCGTAGTATGTATTATTTTTCTCAAAAATTTAATACACCTTAGTTGCCGTGTTGTCCATCTGAATTGAAATACGATGGGGTATGGTGACTTGCTTTGAGTTAGATGAAAATCCCAGTATAAAATATGTTTGGAAGAGAAATAAAAGCTTATAGTACTTTTCGGAATTTTTCCAGGTTCCTTAAATTTGCTACAATTGTCAACAAAGACATACAATCGCTAACGGAGATCCAAGTTAAAGCGATCACGTGGATTTTAGAGGGCCATGACACAACACTTGGGATGCCAACAGGAAGCGGGAAAACGATATGTTATGTAACCCCAGGTCTAATTGCACCCCCCGAAATAGTAGTTATACTCGTGCCACTAATAGCCCTTCTGGAGGACTTGTTCCTGCGGCTCCACGATAAAATAGATATTATAGACCTGCGAAGGACAAGGGTGACGTGGGCCAGCATCGCAGATTACGCTGCCCTGATGAGAAATGGAAAGTCGATATTCTTCCTTTCCACACATGAAGCTTTCCTCAGTCAAGGAAAACTTCATGTATTCTTGGAAAAAGCCCCCTGGAAGTGTCTTAGGATAGTGCACGACGAGGCACATACGGTCCCTTCCTGGGGCGTCGAATTTCGACCCTCTCTATTACGTGTCGGAGAAGTAATTAAAAAGTTAGGGGTGGTGCAACATGTTTTCGTCTCGGCAATTCTGACGGCGGAGGATACCGAATTTTTCACGTGTGGATTCCGTTTCTTTTTACGTTGTAAACTACTGAACGTCATTAAGGTTTAAGTCTTTTTCAGGGCCTATTGGCAAAGAGTTGATGGAGGGCATCGTCATTTTTTCTCCCGTTAAGACCGATTAAATGCCGTACCTATCAGATGTAGAAATTAAGCACCTCTCCACGGACCAAAATTATCTTTATGAGATTGTATTCGCTGTCATTTCTAAAAACTGCCGAGAGGATCTGGCTGGAAGGGATCCTAGTATACTAAACCATGCACGATGGTTGACCTTGGCCAGTCGAAATTTACGTTTATACGTGGGAAGTAAAAGGCTGTCGAATGGTCTTATATTCGAAACGACATTGCTTTGGTCGAACCCGCGTGATTTTAGAATCCTCCGGCGATAAGACTAACCCGCTGCTGCTCTGTACGGCTTACAGCGCACCCACCAGGAGGGATTCGTCCCTCCACGTTATAAGCGAGGTATAGACTGTGCCATCCTATAAAGCCCATACCCACTTGCTAGTTCCTGAATTTGTAGTTCCTGATCTCTAGTTCCTGTTAATCTTTGCCTGCCGTTTACCGCCTTATTCGATGACCTACTTAGATGTGCTGATTTGCTGACCCGTTATCTCGCTGTTACTTTTCGTCGTCCAGCTGAGTCTGATTGTATTTTCTTCTTCTGGGCCTTCAGCCAAAGCCATCTAGTTTCTCTCTCATCTTTTGCGGCCAAGATTTATTGATCAGGCTAATTCCTTGATTAGCAGTTTGTATATGTGTGTACGCGAGTGTGTGACACCATGAGTCTATTTTAGCCAAAGTTGTGTTCCTGTGATATTTGCCTATCCAAGTAATCTATATCTGTGATAATGCCTTTTCTGCTGAAGCCCTTCAGGCATGAATATAGTCTATCTATTGTCTCTCTCTAAAGTATCTCTGTTTTGATTTAGTATCGCCTGCAATGCCTAAAGAGCCTCCCAAAAAAAGGGCCTTTTTTGGCTCCTTTTGTGAAACTCGGGGATTTCATTCAAATGTGGCCTAAACGAAACCTTATGATGACCCAAAACTCCAGTAAAAATTTTAGCTTGAGTATACGTCTGGTTTCGGAGATACAACGTTGCAAAGTTTGCATATTTAAGCTTTAAAAATCTTCATATTTTCAAATATTATCTTCCTAAAACTAACATGAGAGTGAACTTTACAATACTGAAACAAAGCGTAAATGAAGCATAATGATAAAGCAAGTCTCCAGTAAAAGTTTCAGCGTATGTATGACCCCTGTTTAGGTAGTGCAACGTTGCAAAGTTTACCTTTCTGAGCTTTAAAAATACTCATATTTTTGAGTTTCTTATTTAAAAACCAATTTTAGTGAATGTCCAATTGTATTTTGTGGCACGAAATTAACCCCTAGTGGTACTCGTGGATGCATAGTGCATTGATGTAAGGCTACAATAATTGCAAGTAACACAGCGTTGCAAAGTTTACATCTTATACCTCTGAACATGTCTTTTCTAGTGTTTTTTTATTAAAAAAAAAACTTCGATCAAACATGTCTCGGTATTTTAAAGCAAAATGTTAGGACTCTAGTTAGAACTAGATGACAATTGGTATAAAAAATTACACTGTTGCCTATTTGTTTATTTTCCTTCAACATTTATACATAAAATAATTTTAAAATTAGGATACTTCCAAAAATAGTAATCTGATTTCAAAATTAAATTCAAGAGACTTTGTCATGCTTAATGGAATACTCATCATCAGCGTTTCTTTCAAAATCCAACAAATTCTGCCTCGCCATAGTTGCCAATTCGACCTTTTGTTAAGAAAAATTAAAAAATAAACATAGAATAAGGAATATTTCGAGTTTTTTTAAGTATAAATTAATCTTGATCTTGAGAATACATTTATTACGCCTTGAAAAAATAATGCGTTCATACATTGCATCCGTTCTTGTTCCTTTACCTAGTGTTCGTTTAATCATTATTTGTTTTTTCTTTTTTTTTCTTAATGTTAATTAAGTTTAAGATTAGCGACAGTGTCAAGAGTGTCAAGACATTCTCCATAGATTTGCAGGCAGAACTTGTACCGTTATGTGATAAATTCATGCAAAAAAAAATAATTATAAAAAAAGAAAAAAATGAAGAAAAAAATAAAAAAATTATAATTGTTATTTAAAAAATGTAAAAACATTAAAAATGTAAAAACATTAAA